CCTTCATAATTTGCCAGCAGATGAAAAAAGAAATGGGGGGGGGGAAGGGTCAATGTATAGGACTGATTTTTTGTTGTTGTTGCCTGCAAAGTTCCAGTTATGAATTAAAGTGTGAAAATATATAAAGATATTAGTCCACCAGATTGCTGATTTTAACCCAAAAAGGCAGTTCCGTGCTTTGGTTCTACACAGTGAAGATTTATAGACAGAAACTGCAGTGAAGTTTGTAATGGTAACCAAGGGTGTAGATTAACGGACTTGAATCCTTATCCCCAAACGCATTCCCTTTTGATAGAGATGAAACTGAATTTCAAAGACACAAACATAGAAATCTGAAGCAGTTATACCCTTTTTAAGCCAGTGCACTGTAAATGGAACACACTTCAATTCCAGTTGACATTTCTACAAATCTGGTATAAAAAGGACCTGAGTTCAAACGGAGATGAGATATATGGCCCCCCAATCTGTATTCATTGTACTGAAATCTAGCCAATTAGATATTCTTGCCACATTAGCACTGCGGGTATAAATTGCTCTTAAAGTTTTGAACATGGGTTTCAAGTCAATGGTGAGGCAACTCCATATTTAAGATGGTAGATCTAGTGGCCGCCAAATGAGAAGGCAGCATTCACTGGAGAAGACCCTGATGCTGGGAAAGATTGAAGGTCAAAGAAGAAGGGCACAGCTAAGAATGAGATGGTTAGACAGTGTTATTGATGTAATGAACATGCAATTAAGCAAACTCCAGAGGACAGCGGAAGACAGGAGGGCCTGCCGTGATGTGGTCCATGGGGTCATGAGGAGTCAGGCTCAACTGTGCGACTGAACAACAACAGATCTAATGACTGATGGCATTAGTGAGCTAGCAGAATTCCCAGAGCTGACCACTACCCTGTCACTCTGCCAATACGTTTCTCGTCCCCCCCTCCCCAATCTGTTTCTAAAGCTTTGAGAAGCTACAAAGAGCTGTGATGCTTTGGGAATACTGTAGAAAGTGGAAATGGATGGAAATTGCCTGTCTCTTGCATCAGGTAAAAACCTGTGCTACTTGGGATCCATCCTGATATTCTATAATGAAACTGGTGAAGAGGGGAGGTTGACTAGAATGATCTCTAAAATATAAATCTACCATAAAATAAACTCTTGAGACTCCCTTCTTTGGTGTAGTGGTTAAGTGCACGGACTCTGATCTGGGAGAACCGGGTTTGATTCCCCACTCCTCCACTTGCACCTGGCTGGATGACCTTGGGCAAGCCGTAGCTCTGATAAGAGCTGTTCTTGAAAAAGAGCAGTTTCTGTCAAGAGCTCTCTCAGCCCCACCTACCTCACAGGGTGTCTGTTGTGGGGAATTTGGCTGGAGATCCTGGAGGGTTTTTTTTTTTTTTTTGTCCTCTTCTGGGTATGGAACAACAGTCACTGGGGGTGTGGAGGGGGAGCTATTTGTGAATTTCCTGTATTGTGCAGGGGAGGTTGGACTAGATGACCCTGGAGGTCCCTTCCAATTCTATGATTCTAAGTTAGTAAGAATTATCCTATTACTAACACAGACATTGGATCCCAGCTCTTTGGATCTCACATCTATTGCATTTATTTACAAATCTGACTTCTTTCTGTTATCCCTGTGCCTTCATTTTACTTTCCAGTCCACATAGGAAATGAACTAAAACTTTCAAAGCTCTCCGCAGGAGTTGAATACACCACTGGACAAGATTCTGACACCATATGACTCTCCCATTAAATAATAAACAGCATAGTAAAGATGTTGTAAAAAAACCCCAGCATAATCTGGAAAGGCATTTCAGTGAGGGTGATCTAACAGCCTACAGAATTGCAGAGGGGATAGGCATTTCAAAAGGCATGTTAATATGCTCTCTTCTAAAGCACTAATCCGGCATAATTCCCATCCGGGCTTTATAAAACGCGTTTTATTATACATACACTTCTTTGGCAGATCTGTTTTCCTTCCTAAAAACGTATTTAATATTTATGGTCAGGAAACGAGGGCTGGGTGAGGAGCTTCTACATGCACACCAAAGGTGGAAATGTTACACACTTTATTAGAGAGTAAGCCCTTTCCCACTGAGTTCAATGAGACATACTCCTGTGTAAACCAGCTCAGGATACCACTGCTATCCTGAGTTACCCCTCCATTTCCTTCCACGAGCTCCCTGACAGCTGCTCCCCAAAGTTGGTTGGACGACCTTCCAGAACTTTCTCCAACACAGCAAGAAGTAGCTGCTGTCAGAAAGTCGTCTTTCCAACCACGATGGGTTAATAACTACAAATGTCTAGGATTTTAGGGAAATATAGTAAGAATTTCTCCCCTCCCCCCATTCTATATCTAAATCCTGTAAAAAAGAAATGATAGAAAAATGAAACGGTTCAATAGTAAGGGAAAATGCAAATAAGGCAAAACGATTATCTTTCTTTTCAGAAAGTAGTGAATTTAATTCCCCCCCCCCGCCGCATTTATGTTTTGTATGTTTTTGATGTTTTTGTATGTTATATGTTTAAAATAAAGAAATAACTTTTTTTTAAAAGTCATCTTTCCAAAGCGGCAGAGCCTGAGCTTCGAGGTGTGTGGTTCTAGGGGAAAAAAATCAAGCGAAGTGAAACCAGGTGAAGGAGAGCAGCTGGTAAGTTGGGGGAAAGAGCCTGGCTACACCTAGTGTCTTAGGGATGGGGAGTCTGGTGTACAGGGTGGGTGGGGGAATAAACAACACAAGCTCTCCAGCCAAATATCACCTGCTGCCTTCATTCTGGCCCCTTACCCGGGATTTTACTCCTTTCTCCACCCTGTAAAAGCCGATAAACCCTGGCCAAACCTTAAGAGTCTGCAAGAACTGGGACTGGCCTCAGTTGGAAGAGGGAAAAGACAGCCTCCCCCCCCCCCCAGTGGCGTGCAAAAGGGCTTGGATGGACACGCAGCATTCTTTGGATTCTGGCCTATTTTATTAAATGGTTTCAGTTTACCCCAAATCCCGGGCTTAGGTTGGGCAAGAATAAATTAAGAACACGCACATACAAATTTGACTCAACAAAATATATCAATAGCTAAAATGTCACGGGTCTCCCCAACATTGTTTAGCAAACAGACATAGAAAAGGTCTCTTTTTAACAGTCTTTAGGAAGGCATATACATGAGTAGAAACAAACAGTAGACTCTTTAAAACACTCGTTAAGAGCTACAGCTTTTCGAGACTTATACTCTAAGCCCTTTTACCTTTACAGAAAAATAAGATGTTGCTAGTCTCCGTTCTGCTTTTTAAAGAAAATATATAATTACTGAACTTTAAATATAGCCATTTTCCTTTTTTTAAAAAAACACACTCTGCGGGCAGTATTTACAAAAGGAGATTTTCATGCAAATATACAAAAAGAGTTTTAAAGTCAGAAGGTACCTAAGCATCTTGAGATTGTAAAGGGAAATGGGAATGCAGAGTAATGGAACTGATTAAGTAAAACAGTATATTAACTGCCCTGAACAAATATACTTAACCAAAACCCTCCTAACATTTTAAAAACAATATGAATGCATGTACCTGCATTTCTACACCATAAAAAAACATAAATCTGAAAAAGTTAGGTAGAAAGGACACTCTTTTATCCATAAAAATAGGCTAACTTGAAATTGGGTCAGTAGTAATTATAACCTACCATATAATTTTGCTTTAAAACAAACTGTTTACAAAGAACCCTTTTGCATTAAACCTTTATTTATAAAGTAACTTCATTGTAAAAAAGACCCTATCAGTTCAAGAACCTCTGTTTTAGAAATCATTTTTGTATTAGAGAGAAAATGAGGCACTAATAATTAATGGTCTACTACTGCTCAGGCGAAAAAATATCCCAACTGTCAGCCATGCAGTATAAACATTCAGACTTATGTGGGTGCTGGGTTGGAAGGCCACTTCCTAGAAAGCAATGTTTTCAAAATCAAATGGACCAAAGGTAAGTTTTTAAGGTAGCACATTTTAAATACAGCTGTAGTAGCTTAAGTCCCATGGGCTATGAAGTTAAAAGATATTCTGCATGTAAATAAGTTTCCTAACAGTCACAACTTATTCTGTGGGACATTCTTTTGTAAACCCAGATTTATTTAAAGGTAAATAAATAAATTTAAAGGTAAACTGCTATCTTTCAGAATGTTTCCTATAAAACAGATTTTCTTTGCTTTATTGGGTTTATTTTCAAATACTTCCACAATTACTGTCGGAGCTGACGGGATTTATTTGAACCGTGTTGAGATCTCTTACCTAGTTACATTTAAATAAAAGCATGCATAAATATATCTTATTGCCAATCTCACATACACATTCCCTCCCTTCTTGCATGGAGAATGGTGGTTAAAAAAATTAAATGTGGTTACCCAATCATACAAATGCAGTAACCAGGTAGTTACTGGAGGACAAACTTATTCCTATTAACCACATACCTGCATTTGTATTTTATAGGTAACCAGAGTTAGTCTTCACTGCAAGGAGGAGGATGGGAAAGAGCGAGGCCACGTACTGAAGCCCAACAAACTGGGTTCATGGAGTTTTAGGGCAGTAAATTTGAACGTACCCCAGTCTTTCCCTCCCCAAATGGCTAGGCACAACATCCCGGATGAACAGGTCCGCACCAAGAAGCTTTAGATCAATTTTTGTTGCAAGAATATAAAGGCCTTCTTCTACAGTGATGGTCTCCAGTGATGTTGTTTACATCAGCAGAGATGGAAGTCAGCATGATTTTGGAGGAAATAATAATCCTGCAGACTTCGTACAAGGTTTTCAAAGCCACCGAAGATTCATGCTGCAATTTGCTAGGGATTAAATCAGGGTTGCCAGGTCTCTCTTAGGAGGGAGACCTCCTGAGTCTATCTGCCATTCCCACCACCGCTTAATAGGCAGTGGGAGCAAAATGGGGGGGGGGGATGGGTGTGTGTGCCAATGACCTGATGTCATTTCTGGCACAACTGGAAGTGACATCATTGCACCACTGGTCGCGCTGTAGCATTCAGCCAAAACTTAAAAGAGTTTTGACCAAACGCTCATATGTCACCAGCTGTGCAATGACATCTCTTCCGGTTGGGCCGGAAGCCATGCAATCTCATTCTCGGCAACGGTCAAAACTACTGGTGAGTCTCCTGTTGGTTGCCAGCCTCACACGTTGGCAACCTGAGATTAAATTCCACTGAACACAGTGTGTGTGTGTGTGTTTAAAGTAAACACATTTGGAATTGCACTGTTAATCTGACTGGTTTTTCAATATATTATATTGCTGGTCAAAAACTAGACAAATTTTAAATATATATTATGTTCTTTAATTTCTACAACAGTGATTAATTTGGATTCCATGATCCCACTGCATAAACCGAGAGCACTTATGCTTGTTCAGGAGGAGAGCCATCCACTTCCCCCTTCCCCACCATATGACGTCTTCATCATGGCCCCCTGGAAACTGGCTCCAGAGGGATGTGGGGTCCTTCAAAGTAGGTTTTACAGGGAAATGACACGGAGGGCTAGAGTGTAGAAAGGCCTTCTCTTCAGCCAGTGCTCTCTTCAAACCCAGGCCACCGCGGGTGGGATTTTTTTTTTTTTGCAGGACCGGTCTGAAAACTGGAGTCTCACGCACAAGGCAACTATATCTACCACTGCGATGTAATGCAAAGTGTTTTAGTAGGGTGGAACAATATACAGTTCAAATTCAACCTGTCACTGATGTGACAAAGATACACAAAAACCCTACTACAACAGGGCCTTTTAGTGCATTCAACAGATATACACTTTTTGCAGTTAACAGAACAAGTGCAACAAACCGTGTGTGCTAGCTTTTGGGGGGATCTGAACTCGTTCCGTCTGCAGCTCCGGCACACCAAAAGATTTCTAAGCCCACCCACGCACCCCCATGTCTTTCTTCTTCAGCCTCTCCATGGATAAATAAAAAAGTTTTTATTGCTCAGCTGTCTCTTACTAGAGCCAAGATGGAATCCAGTCATTTCACAGTGCAGTGGAGACCCGTGTCTCCATTCACCTCCCATTTTTTAATTTTCAAAGATGCCCTTGTTGAAGGAGCTCTCTGCCTCTTCTCAGGAATGCCCACAATGGCTGTAGTGTTCAAAAACATCCTTTTGGGCTTCCTCGCCACCTTTAGTTTGTTAGCGTCAGGTTTTTCTTTCTTAAGGTGCTTACCTACAGTAGTTTTCTTTGTCTGGTGCTTGGAAACGGGCAAGGCAGAGGATTTCGGGGCGGAAGAAGATACCTTTCTTCTCCTCTCACTTTTTTGGGTGGTAGTTCTGGGCGGCTGCTTCCTGCGGCTGCTTCTTATGAGACTACGCCTGACAAAAACTGGCCCTAATGTTTTTTTGGAAAACCCTGGTTCCCTACTGTTGCCTTTTCTTCTCTGCCACGCTGTCTTTGGATTGCCTCTTTCCAAACAGTCGGCCACAAGCGAATTAAAGGCGGAACTGACTTCCTTCCTATTCAACGAACTTAGCTTAAAGTCATCTTCCCGCTGCAATCGGTGAGCGTTCCGTGGCGAAAGGACTAAGTGCTTATAGGATTTCTCTGAGTTGTTACATGCCAAGCACTCAGATTTTTCTGTGGAAACAGAAGACACGTCTGTCCTATGACCTGAATTCGTCTCATTTTCCTTAACTGGACCCAGCGTGAAAGATGCTGATGAATTGTGGAAGTCTAGTGAATTGAAGGACTTGGGGGGAACGCTTCCCTGCTGCACATCAGCTAGTTTCTTCCTGTTGGCATCGAGGCTGAGACTCCTGAATAGCTGTCGAACATGCGGAGGCTTCTTAGCCTTCTCCCCAACTATGCTTTTAGGAGGTGTTTTTAAGACTCGGTTAGTCAGTGGGTCGTAATATTTAATAGAACACTGCTTGTACTTGTACCTCACTGACTCCTTACTATCTGTGGAATGATGACTTCTCCTCATTTTGGGGGCCTCTACAGCTTTGCTCCTGAACGGTTTCATCTCTGGACAGGAAAGAACATAAACCACAGTTTGGGGCTGCAGAGGACTCATAATTTTGGTGTAAGACTCGGGAAGCTTGAGAGCACACAGCCGGGTTTTCACATTTGGAGTCTTCTCGTTCTCTATCCAAACAAGGCTAGCTTTCTGGCCCGGCAGATCCTGCCCCTTCCTAATGAATTTTTGTTTCACGACTGGATAGTGCACCAAGCTAGTTTGGGTGCCGTGGCTGACCTTGACCACTTGGCATCTCGAGGCGAGGCGCCAAGTTCTTTTTTGAGGCCTCTTCGTTTCTGGAATCTGTCGTGTTTCTGAAATTACTGAGGAGTTGCTGAAGTCAGAGCCAGCAGTTGACACCCCATTAAATTCCGGCAGGACTTGAGCTGTTTCGGCTTCTATTTTGGTTACTGTGTTGGTGTCGCTTCTCCTCCCATTTTTCTGCTTTTTCTTTCTTACTCCCCTCCTCGTATGGTTAGCCAAGGACTCGGTATCGAAGTGGCACCGGAAGCGACCTTCCCGGAAATCCCGGACGAGGGCTTCGATTTTCAGGTCCTCTTCATGCATGATCTGGGACCATGTCTTTCCTACAAAGGATGGGGGCACATGGGGGAGATCTGGAAGAACCGGCTCTTTACTTGACACATCCTCTTCCGCTTCTACGGCTTGCTGCACTGAGTTGCTTTGGAGAACACAACTGAGCTGGGTGCCGTAACTCTCGTCCTGCAGATTTACTTGAACCTCTTTAAGAAGCTCCAGGTTGTTAACCGTTGATTTGGGCGGGGCTGCTCTGGACTGGGCAGCGGCATCACAGTCAAAGCTCATGTCTGAGCCATGCAGGCTGCTGTGATCCAGAAGAGACAGGATATTGAGACAGGAATTACTCTCTTCATCTTTGCAAGGCAGCTCTTCGGGGGCAGTTTCGCAGCAATATTTCAAAATTACTTCTTCGATGATTTTGTCTACCGAAGTTTCATCCCTTCGGCTCACCTTGCTTTCTTTTTTCCCTGCTAACTGAGGAGCGGCTCTGAAAGTCAAAGAGCTGCTTTTGCCCACAGGGTCGCGAGTGTCCCTGAGACAGACGTCGGAGGTCCGAGTTTCATCCTGAGGTTGGGAGCCGTCTTGTTTCAAAAGAAGCTGACCTGAGATTAAAGAGTTGCCTTGGCTACAGACGGGACTCTCGTGCGAAACAGTCCTTGACTGGGCAGACCACAAAATGGGACTAGAGTTCGAATTCAGTAATCCGTCCTGGTTGCATAGGCCCTGCTTAGTTTGTTCATACCTGCTGTTTGAAACAAAATCTGGTATAACTGAGTATCTAACATTTTTTGCAGTTACAGGAGGTGTGGGTGGGAAGTGGCCAGTGGGTAATGGATGGGACAAGAGGTAAATGGGACAAGAGGTAAACGGGGCTTTATGGCTACTATCTTCAGTCCGAACGCCTTCTGCCTGAAGAGGGGTTTTGGTGCTACTGGGGATGCCCGTGGTGTGCTGTGAAGGTCCTAGACTGTGCTCTTGTCCCCTTTCTATCTTCTGAACAGATGTGACTGGCGTATAAGTCTCTTTCGGTTCCTCCTGTGATCGCTGGGAAGCGAGGCAGCCTGACTCGGCAGTGAACCCACTGTCAGTGCTGGGTTCTTCCGCCCGGCTTGCTGTTCCCTCTTTCTCCAAGGCTTCCAACGAAAGAACAGACTCGTCCCTGGGAACAAGCAAGGAGCTGGGCAGGGGCATGTCATCATAGGTTGGTCTACAGGAAGAGACAAAAAAAAATGCTCCAGATAAATATTGCACACACACTTGATATCGGAAGCGTGTAATTAAATGCTTAAGAGCTAGCAGGGCCACGAAACAGAAAATAACAACAGTATTGTTATAATATTTTTAAAAACCCAGCACCCTAGGTCCAACTGGACTACCAACTCCATTTATAATCAATTCCAGAACTCACAAGAGTAATGTCACGGGATGTTAGAACTGTTTTGGTTAAACCCCATTAATGCAACGGTATGATGGTGGGGGGTGGAGGAGGGAGGGAAGTGTTAAAATCCTGCTGCACAGGAGAGACTGCAGCAGTATTCCCAGAACTATTCCAAGTGCCAAGAATCCCTACCACGGTGATTAATGCTCTTTCGAGCTACCGAAGCACGGGGGGGGGGGACCTTTGGGGACGGCACAAATAAAGGAAAGAGCACCGGCCTTCATTCCGACAGCCTTAGTTACAGCAACCGCTCCATTGCATTTTTCTGCAGGAAAAGCTGATGGTAACCATGCAGCTAAGGGTTGCCTGTGCCCGTCCCAGCATGCTCTCAATTCAGAAAGGACAAAGCACACCTGCCAGGCCCTTTCTAGTATAAAAAAGGAGACGAGCGATCTGGACAGATCTGTGCGCTGCCCCAAATTCAAAGAAAGTAAAGAGAGAAGAAATCAGCTAAATTTAGATGCATGCACGTAAACCCATTATAGCTCAGTTATCTTCACATAACAGACTGCAAAAGGCATTAAGCAAGCAACCAAGGGACTGTGCCAAAGAGTAGTTTTGTGCACAGTGGGTTAGATCCAGATTTAAGTGACAATTTCTGATTTCCCTGCTACAAACCCCGTGCCTCGTGTCACTTGTCCGCCCCCCCCCCCATCCTTTAGGGGCAGCATTTTGTGGAGCTCAGTGGGTAGCAGTAGTTCCATTCTACCACTCGAAAATTTAGTCTGGATCCAACTTCAGGTCTGAACACTAGTCTCTATTTAACTGACCTTCCTATGAAAGAATTATGAATGTATATCGTTCCTAAATTAATTTTTCTAGATGCCCTTCCAGACCTTCCCCAAAAGACTCCTAAGCTCTGCAGCTCTTCGATCATCCTTGTGTACTCCAACGATTTGTACCTATTCTCCGGATTTTTCTGTCAGCTAAATCCAAGCTTCCTGTTTCCCCCTAAGTCAACCTTCCTGGTGAAGAGAGATTAATCTACCGACTGGCTGAGAACCTTATTGCTTCCTGTGGCTGCCCAAAATCAAGTGTTGCCTACACTTACTCTACGTTGAACCGAAATTTCAAAAGATTTTGGAGACGCTCCCTCTCTGTCCTGGCCTCAGGCTTCCTGGTCCAACGGTCCTCTTAAGAGCCAGGACTTACCCTGCAGGCCACCACTTTGCAGGGACTGCAGCTCAGGACCAGGCAAGGTCTGGAGTTGGATCTAGAACCCAAGGAGTGTGGCCGTGTGAAATGACTGATTCAGAAACACACCCTTCCTTGCCTTCAACTTAAATAGACTGAGGAAAAGCAGCCCCAGCTGCTCTGGGAGAAATTTCTAGAATTTTCCAGGGGAGGCCTTAATTAGGCCAGAATGCTGTAGAGAACCAGGTTTATTCTGGTTCCGCAGGTGGCACCTGAGCTAACCTGGCAGGGTGTCTCCTCTCAGATACCTCAGCACAAGCCTGCTGCCCCTGTTGGCTGGAGGAGGATCCGGCAGGGCCCGTGGGCTGGGCTGGTGCTCAGTTGCCCAGGGATCCGTGGGGACAGAAGGAAGTTCTGGCAGAGGAGCCTCAACTGCAGACTCCTCAGGGGCAGCCTCTAGATCAGATGGGTCAGAGTCTTCTACCGTTCCAGGGTCTCCCTGAGTTAGGCTTACCAAGTACTTACCGAGAATCGACGGGGGACACATACTTCTTCTCAGGACCATTCCCGCATGGGAAACAGATGCGCTGCACCATGCCGTCGCCAGGAAGTGACGCCGGGCGACGCTCTGGCAATGGGGCTGGAAACTCGATGGTACCATCGAGTTTCCAGCCCCATTGCCAGAGCGTCGCCCGGCGTCACTTCCTGGTGATGGCATGGTGCGGCGTGGATGTGTTACAGGGAGGAATGTTCCGGCCGGGGACCATGTGTCTCCCGCTGATTCGCAGTAGGTACTTGGTAACCCTACCCTGAGTTCTGGCTGTCCTCCAGGCCATGTTTCTGGCTCCCCCGGCTCCTCCTCCAGGGCCTCTCGCTTGAAGTCCAGAGACAGCTCAGAGAGGGTCATGGCACCTTGTCCAGGAAGACTGAGACTGCAAACCCACTCTAGCGCAGAAGGCTTGACACAAAAGGAGGGTGCCTTAACGAAGACTGTCCTGTCCGCTCCGGACTAAAAAGGAAGACCTCAGAAGGAATACTCTCCCCCTACCATCAATACAGCATATAACATACCGGCATCATGGGTAATGGAGCTCCTGCCTGCTTCTGACCAAAGGTGTGTGGGATGGCTTGCTTAGTTTATACGGATAATTTATTATTTTACTCGTAGCCACCTTGAGCCTAATTCTGGAGAGGTGGCATAAAAATCTCCTAAATTTATTTAGTTATTTTATTTTTCCTATTTATACCCCCCCTCCCTACCAAGGCAGGCTCAGGGCCAGGATCCTGTTGAGAACTAGGTCTAGTCTGGTTCCATCTGGCACTGGGTCTCCTCTTAGCTACCTGGATATTGCTTTAGTGGAGTCAATTTTCCTGAACACAGTACTGCTTTTAATTGTTTCTTCATATATCCGGTGTCGTTCTAATCCTAGCAAGACCTTTGCCAGAGTGGAGTCATATTACAATCTATACAATAAAGAAGATATATGAGGCAGCCTGAAACGCTTACAATCTATACAATAAGGAAGTGTGTGTGCGTGTGTGTGTGTGTGTGTGTGTGTCAGTCTGAAACGCTTCCAGAGTTAAACAGAAAGGTCTGCAGAAGGGGGGGCTGGTGACGGTGGGGGGTGCATTAGCGAGAGCCACACCCCGCCTCTGTGTAGATGATGGAACCTGCCTGGAATTTGACTCCCTCAGGAAAACGGCTTTAACCTCTTTTGCTTTTAGTATTAATCCCCCCCCCCCCCCGGGGAGGTGCTGGAAGCAGGTCCACACAGAAGTAAGTCCCATTTATTTTGTTATATTTATTTTTTGTCATCAAGTCGCAGCTGACTGACGGTGACCCCACAGGGTTCTCGAGGTTCAGAGGCTGTTTGTCGTGGCCTGCCCCTGTGTAGTGACCCTGGGTTTCCTTGGCGGTCTCTCCCATCCAAACACCAACCAGGGCTGACCCTGCTTAGCTTCTGGGATCTGAGGAGACTGGGCTATCCAGGTCAGGGCCTGTGGGGCTTACTCCCGAGGGGGGTTATGTATTTATTAAGTAGAATCTCCTAGGCCTGTGATGGTGAACCGTTTAGAGACTGAGTGCCCAAACTGCGACCCAAAACCCACTTATTTATCGCAAAGTGCCAACACGGCAATCTAACCTGAATACTGAGGTTATACTTTAGAAAAAACAACTCATACATTAATTTAAGATTATCCAAACAAAATAAGGAAAGCAATCCCAAATGGTTTCATTTACTTAAAATTATCTGGCAGAGAATTCGACACTTTAATAGTGGTCTGGGCCTGGTTGGGGCGATGGCACGCGTGCCCACAGAGAGGGCTCTGAGTGCCACCTCTGGCACCCGTGCCATAGGTTCACCACCACTGTCCTAGGTTGCCCTTCGCTGCAAGTAGGGCTCAGGGCAGCTTACAACAGAAATGAATACAATAAACAATTTTTAAAAACCTGATATTAAAATACCTAAGACATATCAACAGATAAAACAATACACATTCCAAGATGGCGGAAGAAACAAATTCAGCTTCTACGGGCTTCCTGGGGGGGGAGGGGTTACAGAGGGCTAGAGGGGGGGGTATGAGAGTGCCATATTTCATATTGTCCCATTGCTGCCCTCAATCAAATGCCTGGCGGAACATTTCTGCCTTACGTGCCCTGCGGTAAAGTGGTCAATCCCGCAGGGCACAGATCCAGCAAGAGAGTTCCACCAGATTGAAAAAGCCTTGGCCCTGGGTGAGGACAACCAGATCTCTCTCGGGCTGGGGACCACCAATGTTCTTAGGACTGCAGCTGAGGCCACTCAATGGACCCCTGACCCTTAGCGACCTCTCAAGCCTTCGGCAAAACGACAGAAAGAACAGAATGACCTGCTGTTTAAAAAATTCCAAAAACCGCTCTTTTGTGTGTTCTGGCAGCATCCTGTAACTTTAAGAATTAATGCACTGTCTTCTCGAAAAGAAGGCCCTCGGCGGCATGAAAGAGCACTCTCCAGAAACGTCCTCCCCCTACCATCAATACAGCACATAACATAAAAGGGTAATGGATAAAACACAAAGTAAATAAAACACTCTCTGCTAACTTTTATAAATAATATATCAGCTACCAAAGCAAAATACTATTTTTGTCTGCAACTCATTAGAGTGACCTACTCCCCGGCTTGCGGCTGCTGCATGTGAGGGATGTGATTATCGCTAACCCAGAACAGTCAGGTGTTTATTTCACTCCGGGAGTTGGCGGCTAAGGAACGGCGACCGTGACCTCATAGTTGAGGCCCAGATAAGATTTTGCTTTCAGGGCAGACTTCAAAAGCCAGAAATAAGAATGAAAATGGACGAGGGAGAAGTGTCCTTCACCGTATCCCACTGCAAAAGGACGGGGCTCATTTGGTTTGCTACCGGGTCCAACCCAGCCTCTAAACCAGGCCTGCCAAATGCAGGCTACCATCCACACACTGGCCCTGACCTGGACGGGCCAGGCTAGCCTGATCTTGTCCGATCTCAGATGCCTACAGGGTCGGCCCTAGTTAGCATTTGGATGGGAGACCTCCCAGGAATACGAGGGTTGTGAGGTGGAGGCGGGCAATGGCGAACCACCTCTGAACGTCTCTTGCCTTGAAAACCCTATTGGGTTG